TAAGATGGATGCCCGTGCTTAAATGGATATGCTGCTTTGCCATGGGTTGATTCTTGACTATTTCCACACGATAGATTTCTCATGTCAAGGGCATATTGACATGTACGACTTATTATAAAAAATAAGTGACTTTTTTCTTTTCTTTACACATTGATGAAGTGACGATAAATTGAATTAAAATTGTCAAAATCTCTTCACCATTTAAACGGTAGTGACTATGTAATGTGGGTCAATGAGAAAAAGAAATTAAATTTTTTATTTGGTTGATGAAATTTTAACTCAGTTAAATTTTATCTTGTTATTTGTTATTAAACAAATTTGTAAGTTGAGATATATATGTAGCATAGTCGTAAACTAAATAGGATTACCTCACTTGAAATAGGCATATGAGCACTCAAAATCATGTCATTTTGTCCTAAAACCATGTAAGATGGGTGCTTATGTTTAATTGGGTATGTTGCTTCACCATAGGATGATTTTTGAGTACTTCCACATGATAGATTTTTCATGGCAAGGGTATATCGACATGTCTGACTTATTGTAAAAAAATAAATATCTTTTTTTTTGTTTCATTTCAAATTGATAAGCTCAAATTTATATTGTTTTCTTATATGCCCCTTTATTTTCTAAAACCGAGACGCATAATATGCTTAACTTCATATATGTATGTTCAACGGCACATAAAAAATTATATAGAAAAAATATGATCTACTAAACATCGTTATTTACTCTATGCTAAGCAACAGCACTATTAATGCCAATTTGAAGAAAAGAAAAGAAAAAAAAAGTTGACGAACGAAAAAAGATGCATAAATTTGAATCATACATAACTTTAGAGCAAGGCGCAACATGATGCAACCTCTCTCTCTCTCTCTCGGGGCGGATCCAGCCTTGAGTTTGAACACAGACTACAATACAAATATACATGAATTTATCTTTAAAAAAAAAAGTAGACATTTTTAGTGACGGACACAGGCTATAATACGGTCGAGCCCGTGCTTGGATCCACCATTGTATATAACATACTCTTTTACTTAATTACATTGGTCCTTTCTAGAAGAGCATAGTGAACATGATAATCACAAGTTGTAGATATTGAATAAAACAAGCTTCAACTTTTGCAAAGGCCTCATTGAGTGGAAATTATAGACTTAAAAAGTTTGTAGATTAGCTTTTTGAGAGAATAATTACTCGATGCATACAATTAATTATAAAATTAAATTAATTAGTATGCTTAACAAGTAATAATCACACTAAATATTCCATCTAAAGTAGAAAAGACTATCAAAAGAATAAATTCCAATTAAAGAGTGCACTTTGTATAATATTAAGTTCCCAAGAGAATGAATTCGATAGTTAACATTATTGTATTAACTATATTGTCTATTCTTACTTACCATTTCGTACAAAAAGATGCATAGAAGATCATAAGTTATGACATTGTGCTCCATTTTCTTAAAAACATAGTACCACAATTGACTAAAAATACTGCACAGCTTTTTTATCCCAAAATTTTTTTTAAAAAAATGGAAAATTATAATTATGGTCTGAAATATTTCAAATTGTCATAAACCTTTAATTTCGTTGCGACAGAAGGACAAATAGACAGATTTTGTCCATTATTTAACCAAAAAAATGCTAATTTTAACCATTTAGACAAATTTTAAAAGGATAAAATGATAATTTTATAATTTTCAAATAAAATAATTAAAATAAAAAAACCAACAAAAAAAAAAATCTGCACCTAAACCCAACCCACCCCACCCCTTCCCTTTATCCTCAAAACTTCATCTTCTCCTCCCCCCACCCAACCCAAAAAAGAAAAAAACAAAACAAAACAAAACCAAACTAAAACACAGAAAATCCATCGTCACACCGATCACAGCTTGCCTTACCTCTATCCTCAAAACTTCATCTTCTCCTCCCCCCACCCAACCCAAAAAAGAAAAAAACAAAACAAAACAAAACCAAACTAAAACACAGAAAATCCATCGTCACACCGATCACAGCTTGCTTTGTCACCCTTTTTTTGTTGAAACACTTTTTAAAAGCTTTAAACTCTCAAAATAAAATAGACTTAAATTTTCAATTTTTATTTTTTATTTTAAGTTTTAATATTATGTTAATAATCTTAATCTTGGGTGTAACTTATCATTTAAATGGATTAATTGCAGGGGTGAATTATCACATTAAAAGGGAGTGAATTTTCATAGTTTTGTATACAACTTGAAGAATTATTCTCTATACAATTTTATACTGTAGTCATATATTTTTGACAAGTCGACAATGACTCATTTTTTATCTCCCTATGATCGTGCTCTAAAAAGCTTGCTGTGAGCCATATGAATTTTATCTTAGAGTAGTGTATTGCCGAAAGTATCCGTACGAATTCCTTAAGGCTTGCTTTCTTTCTAACTCTTCTCTTATATTTTTATTTTATTTAATTGATTATGTTTATTAATAATCTCCCTACACACAAATCACACATTTTCCCCCCAACAATCTAAAGTCGTGTTGAGTGATTTGTGTGAATGAACTTAATTTCTCTTAGATTGTTTGATATGATTTTTAGAATTGTAATTGGGCAGCTTTTGGGATTTAACATCTTCGCAAAATATATTGTACTGAGGTGGTTGGTTACAAGTTCGAAAATGAAAAACTATGATACATTGGAACTATACACTCGCTCATGATTCACAGCACGTAGATACATAAACAAACATACGGGTATGTTTATGTTTTACTTGCACACTAAAATTTAATGCATATTTAGGTCAGTTGCCACAAGCATTAGACAATATAGCATGAGAAGGAAAGCCAGTGAACTTTATCAATTTTTATACCTCGTAATTGTTGTTATTGCTATTACTACTTATTTTGACATTTTCATGTTGTCTATGGAATGATGCTGGGACCATATTGTTGAAGTAACCGTCAAGTAAAATGACTTTTGCACTTAAATTAGAGGAAAACTTCAACTTTATATATTTTCTTGTCTAGTAATTCATTTGTGCAATTATTCGTTTTGTCGTAATTACTCGACAATATGCAATTATCCTTGTCAATTGTGCTTATAAATGTCAAACAATAATTGTGTTCTTTCTTTATGATGAAATCAAGTGGAACTTATATTCAATTCCAATTTTCTTGGTGATGGAAAGGTTTCTCTGGGAACCATAAATACATTTTAGGTATAAAATATTAATTTTCTACTCTTTTTCACTCACTTGAAAAAAAAATAAAAAATAAAAAAATGTAAGCTCATAAAATGAGTTTAAGCGGGGTTCTAAAGTGGAGAAATATTCGGGAATGAGTCCATTAATATTGAGATGATTTAGAATAGTAGCAGAAGATGTTGAGAACTAGCTGTTATGGCCGTTTTCACTTATTGAAATAGCTCATAATAACATTATATATATGAACTCTTGAATTTTACTTGTTTTCGGGGAGAATATTGATTGGCTTGATGATTTGGGATAATCAGGTTGGGACCTGTTTTAGGGATCCAGCAATAATTGTTTAAGAAGTGGAGAATGAGATAAGGGTAAAAACAAAGGTAGAAAATGAATCTAAAATGCCATGACTACGGGTCCGTTTGGCACGACTTTTATTTTGACTTTTGCTTCTTGTAAAAGAGATTTTGGAGAAAGCTATTTTAATTTTTGTTTTTAAAATTAATATTTAAAATCACTTCCCATTCCGGAAGTGCTTTTGGAGGAAGTCAAAAAAACCAACTTCCTTTAAAAGTTCTTCTAACCTCCAAAAGCACTTTAAACAAAAATAGCCAAACGGCCCAAAAGCGGCTTTTGGCTCTCAAAAGCTCCTTTTAGCTTTTCAAAAGTCATCCCAAACGGGCCCGAAGAGTGCCTCAAAGGTTTTACACCGGAATCAACAAGTTAAAATACAAACCTATGTAATAAGACGGGAGCATCAATAATCGGCATTCCAGTCTCGAAGCTGTGGCCACGTTCATGACTTGATGTGTTTCCAACAGTGTGGTAATGATAATTCGAGCATTTAGCTTTTAATTTTCATTATATTTCTAATTTATTTGGGATTTAGTATTTTCAATGTGAGTTTCATAAACTGCTAGTGGAGACAAACAGTCTAACACTTCATTACTAGGAGGCGAACTAACTGGTAGCAGTGGGGATTTAGACTAAAACTTCTAAATACATTTGAATTTAGAGCTTTTAGTAGTCCTACTTACCTTTCTAGCATATGATATTAACAGTGCTACCCATACTATAGCATAAATCAATACTGTATGTGGAACAATCAAAGTTTGACCAAAGGGATGTAATTTAAATCTTAGTCCATTATGGCTTCTTCCTCAAATGAAAATTGTTTATACTAAATGAGGTTCAAGTCCAGAACATAGACACATTTTGAAAGTTTAAAATTTGTTGGTTAATTATTGTAACGATTTTTTAAAAGCTTTAAACTCTCTAAATAAAATAGACTTAAATTTTTAGTTTTTTTTTTTATTTTTCAATTTTAATATTATGTTAATAATCTTACGTTGGAGTTTAACTTATCTTTTAAATGGATTATTTGTGGGTTTGAATTTTCTCTATAAAAGGGAGTGACAAGGGACTGAATTTTCATAGTTTTATGTACAACTAGAAGAATTATTCTCTATACAATTTTATACTATATTTATATACTTTTGATAATTCAATAAATGTTCGTTCTTTATTTTCTAGTAATGGTGCCCATAAAAGGAAAACCGACTGTGAGTCATATGGATTTTATTTTGGAACTATATAGTGTCGAAAGTAACCACAGGAAGGGAAGGCAACATCACTTTAAGATATCGTTCTTGATGTAACTTTCTAAGGTTTGCTTTATTTCTAACTCTTCTCTTCGTATATTTTGTGTTATCTAATTGATTGCGTTAATCGATAATCTATCTACACATAAATAACCTGTTTTTCCCAACATCTTCTTCCCCACCAATGAACTTGGTGGTCTTGACGTCCTCATTTTGCTACTAGAACTCAAATCCATGCATCTATATAAATATCCAAAGCAAGATTTCTATCGGCCAATGAAGAGTCAGCATATGAGAGGATAGTATGGCAAAGACTATTAGAATCACAGGAAGCGACTATGGAGAAGTCTTGAGTTCGAGTTGTGCAAGTGGGTGAAGTACAAGTTACGAGTGAGTAAGGAGATGACTTGGCCGTGTCAAACGAATTGGAAGCTGAAATTATTGCTGTCATTAGATTGAAATGTTGAAGTCTGATCATGATATGGAGGAGGATTTTTTTATGGATTGGTTGGACGGTCCGTAGTAGCTTTAATTTGATGTATATAATCTTTTGTTAAAATAGATGGCATTAATCCACTGCTTTGCCATTCATTCATTGGGCAATTTTGTGAGAAATTTTCACCATTTGATTGCATCATACGCAGGGCGGAGTCAGGATTTGTGTTCAGTGCGGACAACATTTTTTAACGCCGAACTTCGAGGATTTGGTTATAGATTTAATGATGATAAAAAAATAAAACAGTATTACAACAATACTAAAAACGACATAATTTATATATTAAACTTGTTCCTTGCGAGTTTTCATATTTTGATATCATCGTACAATAACTTCATTATCGAGCTTCAAAAATATATATTTTAAACAATAGTGCTATTATTCATCCACTGATTACCTATCCGATTGCGCAATTTATTCTTTACGATGCTCATTGCAGAAAAGACTCTCTCTACAATAGCGGTAGCAATCGGTAAAATCAATGCTAAAGTCAAAAGTCTGTAAATCAATGGATATGCCTTATTTTTCTTTGTCAGAACTAACTTCTCCGCAAGATCACCAAGGTCATTCAACCCCTCAAACTCTTTGTTAGAGTGCATATGAAAAATATAAGTCTCAAGTTGATCGCTAAGTACAATGACATTTACTACAGAGAAATCTAATGGATAAAACTCAGCAAGTCTAATCAAGCTTTTCTTATCAAAAGAAGAAAATGAATCTTGTGGGCATAAACAAGCTACACAAAGGAGTAACTCTGTATTTACCTCCGAGAAACGATTATTCAATTCTTAAAATTGTAAATCGATGACAGAGTAGAATAAATCTACTCGATAATGATGTAAATTTGTAATTTTTAGAGAATTACGCTGAGAGCGACCACGAAGTGCAAGGCGTACAAACATATCATCCATGTTGGATACATGAATGTAATGTTGTTGACGAAAAGAACATACTTCTTCCAAAAAGAATTCCCACCCTTCGTCTCTCATTATTTGGAGTCGTCGTTTGCACAATCTCACCAATTGCGTTGCATTCATAATATCTTGATCTTTCCTTTGTAATGCCTTTGACAGTTCATTTGACATCCCCAACACACTTGTAACACCCCGCATTTTTTTTACTATATGGATTATGGACCTAAACTTATCATTCAACAAATGAAGATTTGTCGTTATACTAAAAGTCCAAATTTGAAGTGGTAAACTCGACTCGCTTATTTGTACAAATAACTTATTTGCTTACGTGCATTTTTAGGAAAAATTATATGGGTTGAATATTTATGTATTTTTAGAAGTTGATGAAATATATCAATAATGTATTCGTTTTATAGCTCTTGTTAAATAGTATAATTTGGAATTAAGAAAAAGTAATTTTGAGCTAGTATGTCTGAGTTATTCTAATAAAACGAAATATGTTATCTTTTAATATTTTCTTAATGTATAATATAAAATGATTTTTCTCCTAGAAATATGTACGGTCATGTGGCCATAATGAAGGGAATGAATATGTTAGTATAATTGGATTTATTTAGACTTAATTATCTCCATAACCATGATATTAACTTTAATTAATTAGAACGTGCCCTTTCAAATTTGTAACAGTAACACACTTTAATTGATTTTACATTAACTCGTGGACATGGTGGTTTAGTTACATTAATCTTCAATTAACCTCAGATGACTTTTCACATTATGAAATTTACGTGTGTGGAAATTATATATATATATATATATATATGAGATGAAAATGATTTCTTCCACCACAGTTTATATTACACATACATCACGCCACTTTATAATTTTATAATTTTGAGCAAAGTATAATATTTATATCTTTTCACAAAGTCATTTTCAAGTAAATTCTTGGATATCAAATTGAGGTAAGAATACATGGTGCAAGTGGTAAATTTTTATCTTTGATATTTATGTAAATTTGGCATGAAATACTACAAGGCCTTCGGGTCGAATTATATGCTAAATCCTTCGGGATGGACCGTCAGGTCAAAGAAAAGAAGTTAAATCCTACGGGATGGACCTTTGGGTCAATATTTTAAATCCTACGGGATATGGGGATTCTTAAGAAATTCCTTGAGCTGTTGGAATCGCGACCAGTTGCTCGAAATTTAAGAAATGTCGGTATGTTATGCCATATTATGTTTATATCATATTATAAGAATATGCACGTATTTTTACTGAGTATTTTCAAAATACTCACTCTTACAATATTTTCAGATGAGAACGGGTCGTGTGGATGCGTGGAAGATTGACAGAGCAATACTAATGGGGTCGTCAAGTAAATTTTCTAGAAAGATAATTATCAACTTTTATTTGAAGAATATCGTATGCATGTTATTTAATATGTTGTTCAAGCATTCGATATGTTATGTTCGATTTTAAATTTATAAATTTCAAATCGAGTGTTTTTGATATATTTCCGCTTAAATTAGATAGAGAAAGTTTTGGTAGCCCCTCGAGCTTATTTTAATTTAAAAATAATATAATAATATGGAAAAGAGTTCGGGGCGTTACACACTTCTCGTCAACTGTAGATTAAATGCAAAATCAAATCTTTGTATTGACTCCAATAAATTTGTTGCATCAGATCTTTGATCACAAGAACAAGATTCATCTTCAACAATCATTGTAAGTACATCTAAAACAGAAGAGAACATGGCAAGCAAGTTGACCAAAAAATTATAATGTGAACTCCATCGTGTATCACCAGAGCGCTGAAGGGTCGTTTCTTGATTAAGTCCCCGTCCACTTAAAAGCTCACCTTTTTCCAATGCCTCAACAATAAAGTATAATTGTTTTTCTCGAAGAAGATCACAACGTTTGGAAGATGCTCCAACAGTATTTATCACATCCCCAACCACACGAAAGAAGTTAGTAATAGGGACATTCTTCTTTGCCACAGCCACAAAGTTCAAGTTGAAGTCGATGAGCAAAACAATGAATGTAAAAAGCACATGGACTCTCCTTCAAAATGAGTGTTTTCAGACCATTAAACTTACCTTGCATATTACTTGCTCCATCATAACATTTTTCTCTCAATCTAGACATGCTCAAGTTATATCTAGAAAATACCTTATCAATTGCAGTCATAAGTGATAGAGCCGTGGTACTTGTAACATGTTCAATCCCTATGAAGTGTTCATTGACATGATCACTATTGTCTACATAACATAAAACAATAGACATTTGCTCCTTCATCGACACATCACAAGATTCATCAACTAGAATAGAAAATAGTGAGTCGCCAACATCTTTGATAATAACATTGATCGTTTCAATAGCACAAGCATTTACTATATCCTTTTGAACATCAGATGATGTCAATTTGCAATTGTGAAGAGCATTTCCCAATGTGACAGCATTAATAACTTCATTAAGAGCAGCCAAAAATTGCAATTGCACTAAGAAGTTACTTGGATTGAGAGAATCCTCAGATTCATCATGACCTCAAAATAAGTGCCCTTGTCGCAAAAGAACTCAAACACAATCAATGGATGCATTAAGATGTATAACATATGTATTTCTTGCTTGTTCTGACTGTTCGTAGAAAATTGATTGAATGTGTTGCTCTTGATTCATCAACATTTCACACTTAATGCGAGCTTGATTATATACACTATCATGAAGTCCAACATGAGTATGAAACCTTTTTTATCTTTCCAATATGTAAAACCTTCGCCAACAAAAGACTCACCTCCACCTTGCTTTCTAGAACTTGTTCTGAAAAGATAACAATACAAACAATAAGCAACATCATTCTCTACATTGTACTCCAACCAACTATTGAACTCTTTAAACCATGAAGGATTGAATCGTCTAATTGTTACTCCAAATTGTCATTTTGGAAAGTCATGATCTTGGGGCTGACAAGGACCCTTTAACATATATGCTCTTCGAACTTCATCTTGGATGTTAGCATTGTAATCCAAAATGGGTATCCTTAGACCAAAATCAGTTGGAAGTTTTGTGACATCAGATTCCACATTATTCGATACCCCTCATCAACATTATCTACGTTCCTTTTTCGTTGAAAGTATCTATTCATTTGATATCTGGATTTAAACATTTGATATCCAATTATTACTTGAAGTGAGTGTGAATAATTCATAATGACAAAAGGATCATAAATTCACAATTTCAATTCGCAGTGCAATTCACATTTCACAATTTCACATTATCAATCCAATTTCACAATATCAATTCACCTTCCAATTCGTAATTTCACAATGCAATTTATGCTATTTCACAATCCAATTCACAATTTCACATTATCAATCCAATTTCACAATATCAATTCACCTTCCAATTCGTAATTTCACAATGAAATTTATACTATTTCCAAATCTTAAGCAACTTGAACTTACAATTTCACACAGTGGTTCGCAATTTCCAATCCATAGCAGGTACGGGTGACGGCTCCAAAATCGAAAGCGAGTGCTGCACCTGCACGCGGCACGCCTGCACCTATCGAACGCAGTTACGCAATGGAAGTTATCACGGTTCTTTCATTTATTTATATTTTGAGTTTCAAGTAATTTAAGGCTATCTCTTAACATTTATTTATAGAGTTTTCAAAATAGCAATGTCAATTTTATTCCACAAAGCATAACAGCATATTTGTAGAGGTTGAAGTTTCAAAAGTTATTAAAGAAGCAGGGGAAAGATAATGTATTCCCCAGATGATGAAGTATATGGAGAAGGCTGTCAAAAATATTCAGTAAATTACATTTATTAATTTATTATGATCCAAAAATTGCTGACAATCTAACTTCACAATTGCCAAAATCAGTTACTATCTTCTTTCTAGGGGACTCAATTTTTAAATTCAGATCTTAACTTCAACTGGAATACTTATTCAATTTCTCTACACCTAACAGCATTTCCACGATAGAAATATAAACCCATCAATAATTAACTAGTAACATTCCTAAATTAAGCAAAACCGTAAATACAAATTTCAATTTTCAGAATTTTCCACACTCCATCTTCACTGAAATATACGGTAGGTAACCTTCAATCACCTTCTTCGTTCTTCTGGGCTCCGGTTTCGGGCTTCTCCAATCTCCAGTGGATCAGTTCTTTTTCTTTCGTTGGGCAGCTTGGGCTGGCAGGCGGTGTCACGGTAGCTGACAGTGGACTGGAAGTCTGGAACTACAGTCTAGAAGTCGGCGACAGCGAGTTGGAGCGGCGACTGGCAAGAAGAAGGCGAGGGTCGACCGGTCGAGAGAGACGCAATTCAAGTTGCAAGGGTTTGGTTGTGATTTGAATGAAATCGGGTTAATTGAATCAAAATTCCGGGTCTAGGTCAGTAAACGGGTCGTGGGCTATGGGCAATTGGGCTTTTTGATTAACCAGGCTTTACCAAAAAAAAAAAAAATGGGCCTACTGGAGCCCAAAAGTTCAGATGCCCGCACTGGACCTAGTGGGGCTCCGCTCCTAATCGTACAAGTAGAGCTTGATCATCTTCAAATGGGGTTTATAGCAATTGAAAAGGTTGGACTTATGAGGCATTTGGTTTTGGACTTGGGCGTTGGGAATTGGAATTTCTTGAACATCATTTTCTAGAAGAAAATATTGGTTTTGGGTTTGGTATGATAAGATAGAAGATGGGTGGGGTCGAAAATGGGGACGATGAGAGGCAATAACCGGCGTGACGATGGGTTTTATGGGTTTTGGGTGAGGGTGCGTGAGATGAGATGGGGTGGAATGAGTGGGGAAGACGATGAAGTTTTGAGGGTGGGGCGGATTTTGGTGCTTTTTTTTCTTTTTTCTTTTTTTTTGGTTTTTTTTTTTTGTTAATTATTCTATTTGATAAAATGTAAATTTATCATTAAACCCGTTTAAAATTGATCAAAAAATGGTAAAATTAACTTTTCTTGTCAACTATCGGTGAAATGAATAGAATTTGTCCCACCACTATAACGAAATTAATGATTTGAAATTGTGGTGGCACAAATGAAATGTGCTGGGACCCCAGTTGCAATTTTTCAAAAAAGTAGGTATAAGTTGTAACAATTCTGTTGCACTTTTATAATATTACCTCAAATATAAGAGCTGATGATGTGAATTCAAGCCTTCTTTTCAAGGGAAGGTGAAATCTGTTAATCCTTTTTTTTCAATTAAAAAAAAAAAAAAGAGACTAATACTATGTGTACACTTTAACGTATACACACAATCTTACACCCCCTCACTTGGAGAAGGTCCACACAATAAAATATGTGTGGATCTCCCTATATGTGAAAGGAGAGTAAGCCCTGTGTAAACGGTTATGTACACGTAGCATTGCTCTTAAAAAAATGTGTTATAATATTGTTATACTTATAAGGTACACATTATGTTACGCTCACCTTCACCAACACGACGACCACCTCCACTACAATTATATGATGCGTACTGCCATCTCATCACCATCACGCATCACTATCACCTCGTGCCATCTCCACTATCGCCAATGCCCATCACTCTCGGCAACCACCTCTATGCAAGATCTACACCATCACGTTCACAAACACCAAACCTAGATCACCATCATCATAATGCCAAGAGGAATCAATTGTCCCATAAATTTGGTAATGGACGCAATTCACAAAAATATATTCAATTGAAAATAAAAAATCCATTATACAAAAGATAGTATCCCGTTGAGTTTATATGAATATAAATTAAGTCGAACATAAGCAAAAATCTTCAAATCAAGAATCAAGTGCTCAATGGAAGGAGGAGTTGTTAATTGATTAGGCTCATGGATAATCCACAGCCCAAAAACACCAATTGGCATCTATGAATGGAAAAAGCCAAGTGTACAGGCTCTTTTCATAGAATCATGTAGCTTATTTCATCTTGCCAACTACTAATGAAAAATGACAAATGTGTATCTGTAAAGAATCTGTAAAAGAAATCATGTACGTGTAACTTTTTCCTCTATGAATGGTGGGTGGGCATTGATTGCTCAACAAAGACAGGGACGGTTAATGGTTGTGGTTGTGGGAGTAGCAAAGGTGATGTTAATGAGCAGAGGCTATGATTTTGATTTGTGAATATGTATTATCACTGGAAGATTTCAACATTGTTGAGGATGGCCTGATGGGCGGGGTGTCCGTCGAAGGGTGATTTTATGGTGGCGGTTCTACTATTGATTTAGTGGTGGCCGTGATTCTCAAGCTTGAGCATGAATTGTGCATTTAGGTCGATTTGAGCTTTAAAATTTTATATTATACTTATGAAATTCAGTATTTTTAAAATTTAAAAAAAAAATAAAAAAAATGATGAGTAGTAAATCGAAATTCTGAATTATAATTGAAGTACCCTGTGTCATTTGATTTCCACTTTTTACAATACTAGTGAGTGAATGCGCGTTGCACGTTAATTGATTAATGTTTAAAATAAGTGTATGTAAATTTTAGAAAAAATTATTTATAAATTTGAAAAGTATTCATAAATTCGTTGAAATTGACTTATTTCTCGTCAATTTTCTCTGTATATTTTTTATTCTTTGTATGAACATTTGAGAATTTGCATATATTTGTACAAGGCATTTCCCTGTATAAAAGTTTGTATGAAATTTTTTAAGCGGAATATATTTCTCCATATATAATAGTTCAGCTTAAAATATGATTTAACTCGCTCAAGCTTCGCCCCTAATCTATACTATGATTATAATAATTAAATATCATCAAGATATACAACATAACAATATCTACATTATTGCATTAAAATGGTTTTTCATGTTGATAGGCACCATACAGAATCCTAAATTATAGTTTAAAATGTTAAACGCAATTTCATGTATCAACCTTCTTCCAAGAATCTAATTTTGTTGTCATTGGAGATTGACCGTAAGATTGTAAAAACGTAATTAGAACATTAGAAAATACTGTAGACATGAGCATAACCTTAAAGGGAGAAAACCTCTTCAAACTTTTCAAAGTTTAATTAAAAAGAATTTTAAATCGAACAAAAACTTATTTATAATATGAAGAAAAAAGAAATTTTAAAACAATTTTTGAAAAATTTAATAAAAACAAAACAAATGAAACAAAAGAAACAAAAAAAATTACGAAAATGAAATAAAGAATATATAAATATTATTTAATTAAAATTGAAAAAAAAATTAAGTTTTATCATAAAGAAAAAAGAATTAAAAAAAATTCAAATTTTTTCATCGTGGGAGTAAAAACGACGTCGTCTTACCTTCAATCATTTCTTCATTTTCACACACCACTTCACTTCATTCAATCCAATACCAATAAAAAAAAGAAACTAAATGATTTAACAAATTAAAGAATAAAAATAAGAATTGTTGACAAAAATAGAAAAAACAACAAAAAAAATTATTATAATGTTTTTTAATTAAATTGAAATAATTAAAATTAAAAATAAATATTATTTTTTAATTAAAATTTTAAAAAATTACATTTTATCACAAAACGAAAAGAATTAAAAAGAATTCTAAATCAAAAAAAATTTATTTATAATATGAAAAAAAAAGGAAATTTTAAAATAATTTTCAAAAAATATATAATAAAAACAAAAAATAAACAAAAGAAAGTTACGAAAATTAAATAAAGAACATATAAATATTATTT